ACCCCCCAAATTACCCAAACGCCCCTGAAACAACCCAGAACAACCCAAGGTGAGTCCCCAGGTGTCCCCAGGTGTATCCCAGGTGTGTCCCAGGTGTCCCCAGGTGTCCCCAGGTGTATCCCAGGTGTATCCCAGGTGTGTCCCAGGTGTATCCCAGGTGTCCCCAGGTGTATCCCAGGTGTCCCCAGGTGTCCCCAGGTGTATCCCAGGTGTCCCCAGCTGTATCCCAGGTGTCCCCAGGTGTATCCCAGGTGTCCCCAGGTGTATCCCAGGTGTATCCCAGGTGTGCCCAGGTGTCCCCAGGTGTCCCCAGGTGTATCCCAGGTGTCTCACCTGGAAGGGGGCGGGCACGTTGATCATGGTCCCGTCCTCTCCGATGACCTCGGCCACGCCCAGCCCGTGGCGCTGCCCCACCTCGAAGTCGGTGCCGTCGTGGGCGGGGGTGATCTTAACGGCACCTGGGGGCGGGGCCGGGGGTGGGACACGCCCAGGAGGGGCCACACCCACCCCGGCCCCGCCCACACCTGTCACAGCCACCCCGGCCACGCCCACACCTGTCACAGCCACCCCGGCCACACCTACACCTGTCACACCCACACCTGTGACAAACCCGCTGAGCCTGGTTAGGCCACACCCCCAAATCAGCCCCACCCCTCTAAGCCCCACCCCTAAATAACCACACCTGAGCAGCCCCGCCCCTCCAAACCACGCCCCCAAAGCGGCCCCGCCCCTCCCGGCCCCGCCCTCACCTGTCCCGAACTGGGGGTCCACGAAGGCGTCGTGCAGCACGGGCAGGCGCCGCCCCGTCAGCGGGTGCACCACGTACCTGCCCCGCAGGTGCTGCAGGGAGGGAGGGGCGGGGCCTCAGGGACTCACCTGGGCCTGGCCACGCCCACCTGGGCCACGTGACCCAGCCACGCCCACCTTGGGGCGCGCACACACACACCTGGGTAGGTCCTGCCCCTCAGGAGGGAACTTGGGGGGGGCTCAGGTGAGGCTCCAGGTGTGCCCAGTCCCACCCTCACCTGGTACCTGGGGGGGGTCTCAGGTGTGCCCTCACCTGGTACCTGGGGGGGTCTCAGGTGTG